CCCATTTCTTTTATACCTAGGGGAGTAAAGAACAGGAAAACATAACAAACTTCTCTCCATCAGGCACTGAGACAGAGCCGAACCTGAATCAAAGCTCAGGATGACTCTGTGACCTGGCTGCTGTGGTATACAATAGTTCTAAGGTGTTCCCTCTGGGGCATCCTTTCTCCTGGCCAGGGTAGCCACAAACACCAAGAGCTCTCCTGGCACACAAGTAAAAAGCACTTGTACATGACCCAGAGCCCTGCAGCTCACCGCAGACATTTTGAGCAAAGGCAGAAGTAAACATCTCACTAAAAATAAACACAACTCAGCATAAAGGTCTGAGAAGGAAATGCCTTTTCAAACAGCAGAGACACCAGCACTGCACTGGGATACATCTGCAAAGGGGAAGGAAGAGCTAATGGCATTACAGCCATGACACACCACTACTATTCAAGGCAAATATTTTCTCTAGTGAAATGTAGCACATTATAAACCACCCATGACCATTCAGCTACTTAGAACATTTGGCTGCTTAAATATTCTAACTGTGCTGGAGGAGACAGCTGAACTAGCAGCTCAGGGCCAGGAATTAGCCCCGAGTCAAATTCATTTACATAAATTACATTTTCCGACACTTCTGGAAATAAATGGTCCTGAAAACTCACAGATGCCTAGTACTGTGCTAATAATTGCATCAGGCACCTAAATTCCTGCATTTGCTGGGGTCTGAGGTTTCAAGGGGACAGCAAGCTGTCCCAGAGCAAGCTACATTTTCACCAGGCTGCCCTTCCACTGCATTTCAGCAATTCCCCCATGCCCTGACCCAGGAGTGTTGTACATCCCAAACAGGTATCCTCCCCGAGCAGCCAGGACAGCAAGCATGACTATCATGAGCTTTCCATAAAGGGCAAGAGCAACATGCTCCACCAAGTGTCCCACTCGCTGCTTTCAATGATTTGAGCTGTGCTGGAGCTCCTCTCCAGCAGGCTCACCTGTGGTGCCTCCTGCAGACCACACATCAGCAGCACACACAGGCAGTGGCACAGGGAGCAGAATGGTAACTCAGGTGTACTCCAAACTCAGAATTCCAACTCAAATTATGACCTTGTCCTCAATGGACACCCATTACTCCGACAAGGAAACACCTCTGCACTACCTACCCAGGCTTCAGGGTCGGTGTCAATGACAGCAGAGAAACAAGTAGTGGCTTTTTGTTCAATTTTATCATTCTTTTTTTGTAGTCCCTTACATCACACACAAAGCTCTGTGTGTGATGTATAAATAAATATATTTACATTATAATACAAGGATAAATTCCAAGGAACACAAATTTATGGTGCTTATTCCACATACCATCCCTGAAGCTCTCAGATAGCAGTGCCAGGATAATTTTCCTATACAAGGATCCTTTTTATTTTAAGTTTCAAGTGGCATTTCTTTTTTATTGCTTACTGGAATACAATGAATGGGATGACTTTCTATGTAGGAATAAAAATTACCAGTGATATAGGGCAGGAAATACATACAGGTACGAACTCTGGATTTATTTGTAAAAAAAGATCTTCAGAAATACCCAGTCATTTTGCACATTGGATCATTCATTTTGTGCTTAGTGAGAAGAGGTACCTCCCTGCATCTCTTCTCCTAGATCTTCAGCTTGCTCATACACTTTTTCAAAGATTAACACAACTGGACAGGTATCTGACAACTTTAAATCTGACAATATGGAAATCTGTGCAAGATAATCCACAAATGCAACACAGATCTGCATATCTCTACTCTGAAAGTAGATTTTCTTTTCACAATATGTATCCACAGCTCCAGACCAAACCAGCATAGCTGAGGTATACTGTAGAGATTTGGTTTAGCAGAATAGCCAAGCAGACCCAAGCTTAGTTCACATACAACCATTTTTAATTTAGCTTATACATGTAAAGTCTCTGGGACTGGACAAAATACTCTGCAAAATTAAGCACTGGGTCCACAACACAAAACCCAAGGTTACTCATATCATCATTTGTTTCTCAGACAAGTATTTTATCATGTGGCATGCTATTGAGTCATGCCTACTTAAAAAAAAAAAAAAAAAAAAAGTGTTTGTGAATCCCTGAGTATTACTTGAAGATGCTGTTCTACATAACACTTCATGATCTCATAGATGAACAGGAGATCCTTAAAAACCAAGTTTCTGCTGTGAGGAAAACCAGCTCTGGCAGAGCAAAAAACCCCACACCCACAAATATCCTTAAATACCCAGCAAGCACAGAAACCTTGCTGCTTGCAAATTTCATTATTTCCATATTTGCACCATAATCGCACTGTCAGTACAATGTTTAGCCTTTATGCCAAAAATACAATACATCTGCATTTTTTGGACCATCTCCATTTGTGTAATTTACAATATAGCAGGTCTTAAACAGGAAAAGACCCCAAATAGATCACTTTCACAGTACGAAGAGGGGATCCTTATAGTTTTGTGCATTCTGTGACATAATAACAAGCACAATTCACAACCATGGTTTTGCATTTGGTATCTATCACAAAACGTACCTATATCATCCACATCTGAAAAAATTAAGAGGGAGTGCAAACCTTTCACAGAAGCTTTGAGGCAGCCATTGATCACTCATCCTCCTTTGTCCCCTAAGGGGATAAGGGCAAAGAAGGGAGGCTATTCTTTCAATGAACACAAGCTGTAATTTACACCCCACATCTGGGGTTTGCTAAGCAGATGTGGACAGGGCCTGGTTTTTCCCACTGAAAATCAGAAGAGAGCCAAGTTTTTATTGTACACATGGGAACACCCTTAGCCATGTGGAAAAAATGGAACCTGGAACAGTCAATTACCTGAAAACGTGAAATCATGGAACATCCCTGTGCCTTTCCTGATGAGCATTACAACTCACACCCCCAGGGGCTGCTCTGTGTGCTGTCCCATCCGCTGCAGCACTGCTGATCCAAGACAGTCTTTCCCTGCTTTGAATAATTAAACCTATACCAAAGCAAGGACCTCAATCGTACAGCAGGGCCACACAATCACCTGGCTTCCTGCTATTTTTGTCCCAGTCCCTTGCTTTTTAGAATAAAAGTGTCACCATCAGATATAACTGAGAGAAGCTGACAGTAGAAAAGCCAGCTGTGTGCTGATCAGTTTAGGTACAGGCTGTGCTAACTAGACACTTAAAACTGCTCATCTATGTTCCAGGTGAGTTTGACAAATATCAGGATTTATTTTCTGGGCACTAGGATTTAATGCCTTCATCAGGTTAAAGAAGGATTGACAGATGCCCACCTCCCCACTGCTGGCCAGTCTCGGAGAAATTGAAGGCAATTTTCTTCTATAATTGAAGTTTTGCAAAATACTCCTCTAAAACATAAAGGGTATTTAGGCTATATTCTCTACTGCAGAAAAAGCAGTATAAGAGGCTTATTGCAGAGAAGAACAAAGATGCACAGAGATGCTCAAAAACCAATGGTTTATAAAATAGTCTTGTATCAGAGGATGGAAACTACCAAACATATCTTTACTGAGATAAAAATTCAGCACTCAGTGAAAACTTAGCTTAATTAGTCAGTCAGAACCAAGCAATATATAGAATATTCTGAGTTAGAACAGACCCACAAGGAACAATGAGTCCAACACCTGATTTCACACAGGACAACCTAAAAACATGTATCTAAGAGTGTATGTAAGCCATTTAGTTATGTGGCTTCCTGCTTGGCATCAATCATCAATTCATCAATCCTGGGCAGCAAGGAAAAGTTCTTGTGGAAAATACAATTATTTCTGAGGCATATATGAATGAAGATCATACAGTTGTTGCACATGTTTAACACTGCTTCTTGCACATTCTTTTATTTGGGAGCTTACTTAAAAATAACAAGTCAAACTATAGATATACTACAAAAAAAAAAAAAAAATCACTCCTGATTGTGGTTCATTCAATTGCTCACCTTGACCCTGCATTCCAATGATTATACCTCTACCTTTTGGTAAGCACTAAAATTACAGTGACCTAAGCAGCTCAGGAGAAATTAAATGTGTTCAGCTCATCAAATCACCAGTAAAGATATTAGAATTTCTTATTTCATCCAAGAGAAGAAAATGGAAAGATATTTTACACTAATAGTCCCTAATATGTTTCTATTTCTTCCAAGAGCTCTTGCTCAGGATTTGACTCCAGGGCAGATAGGCTGACGCAAAAGTCCACGCTTTCATTTGTACCACCTTTTTAATGAGGATAAAAGTGATTCAGCTTCAACATATACGGTGACAAACCACTAAGCAAGCCTTAAACGGAACTAGGCAAGACAGCATGGGCAATAAAGAACAGTGCAAATTTTGTTTTAAATCGTATTTCCTTTAAAATATAGATAAACAAGGAAGCTGAATACCACACAGTCAATGTTTAAAATGTTAATTCTATCATTCTTCTAAAACTGTATACAGGCTTTTTCTAAACTCACACAATGATGCTCAGTACACTTCTGAAGAGGAAATCAGGCCACAGCATGATGACTGTATGTGGCAACTTTCTGTCACTGCATTACTGCTGACATTCACTAACTCCTGGCTCCCTTATGTCTGAATTAATGTACAATGGCAAATAGGAATCCCAAACAGAGAATTTAGCATGCTGTACACACCAGTGGATTGCAGCCTATGTAATTTATTTTACCTGTTAGCTCAAAGTTTCCTTTAAAATGGTCTGAGAGCACTCCAGAAAGTTGATTTTGTAATAAAAAATAAAATTCCTGAGACTTTATATACTGAAAACCAAAGGTAAACCTGAACATTTCAGTGAAGTCAGCGATGCTCTGACAAATTGATTTCTAGGGCACATATGCAGTCAAGCCATTTTACTTTGCTCAAGATCCTACAGCAAAGCAGGAAACAGGAAGATTATCTTAGTATCAATCCAAAACTTCGGTCAGAAAAACATTACTCCAATTCCCTGGCATTATTGCTGACATTTTGCATTCTTGAATTGGAAAAACAAAGTCTCACAAACAAATCATATTAGCATACAATGTTTATTATCTTCTATTAATCTGAAGTCAATAATTTTGATATGACTAAATTAATTCTGAAATAAAGAGACATTTTTAAATACATATGAAAATGATGGGCTCTAATATGAGAGTACTTAGTTGATCTGCACTCTTAATCCACATGCTGGATACATAGATCAAATTATTATACATCTCCTTTCACTTTACACTGGACTATAATACAGCACAATTTCTGGAGGTGAAAGCAGGGAGGAAAGAAATCATATTTTCAAGTAGCCCTTTTATTTAAAAAGGGCATCAATGATAAATTAAGCCATTGTGTTTCTCTATGATTTTGATTTTACTTACAGTATACACTTTTGTAAAACATATAGCTCATCAATGATACACAGTGGCCCTTTACTAAGGGCAAGTAACCAAAAAAAAAAAAACCAAAAAAAGAAAAAAGAAATGCAACAGAAAACAATTCTACAGATTAGAAAATTCATATTTTAGAACATTGTCACTTCAGAGTGCCTCCAATGTTGCTAAGAAAGGTCATGCACAACATTTCTAATGTTGTCATTAGTCCACGAGAGAAATGTCTGCGTGCTTTACATGAACAGAAAAAGGTACAAGTCAGAAAGAAAGCAGCTTTCTCCAGTTATCTCTTAGGCCTGTCTGTGTCATCAATGGCAGCTAGCAGCTTCTGTCTTGCCTTTTTGTTGATGTAGGTGCCCAGACAAATATTCACCAGATTGGTCAACTGCTTAGTGGAATATTCCTGGCAAACAAAAACAGATCATGTTAGGGCAGAATAAAACACCAGAGAAAGACAGAAAATTTTAAAATACACAGACATACTCAGTGTGGATTTCACAATTGATAGGAGCATCAGTACACAGGGGAGATTTAAAGCTGTAGTTCAGTCATGTCTGGATAGTTTTCATAGTTGAGGCAGAGGACAAAACTGTATTTTGCTACATGGTAGCTTATAATGAAAAATGCTTATGACTTTAAAAGTACTGGAAAGAGTTCACATAAAATAACTCTGTGAACATGCATATAAATCAATTTTTAATGTATTTTCCATTCTTTGGGAGACTTGGTGGGAAAACACATGCAAATGATTAAGCTTTTAACACAAAAACTATTTTTTTCCACAAACTGTGATAAATGTTGGTGATCGTTTTTGTTTTGACTTCCCATTTCCAATAAGCTTCAAAATGCTTCTGTCTGCAGAGTCTCCAAACTATTTTGATTTCAGTATATGATAAAGGAGGAAAAAATGTCAAAAATCTGAAGAAAACAACTCTTAACACCTGTGGAAACACCATATTTGCCAGTATTATCTTTATGTCTTAACACTATCCAAAACATAGCTTCCACCAATATGTTTTAAAAAAGAGCTTTTCCCTGTAGGTCATCAAACCTCATAGCTCACAATCTCTCTTGGGGCTCCAGGCAATACAAGGAAAATTCAATCAAAGACATATTTCTTCCCTCTGTTTCTAGTGGGATTTAATCCCAAAATACAGATTTCAAGTGTTTCACTTTAAAAGACTTTTTACTTCAAAGATGGGTATCTCCAATAGCATGTGACTATTACTTACACAGATCTGTTATAATTGTTAGTTCGTGCTATAGTGAAAGCATCTGAATGTTTTCAAAACACAGACTTATCCCAGCAAGAAATGCTGATTAAGCAGTATAAATGAAGAAAGAAAAAACAATGACTTCTCCATTGTTACAACTTAGTTTAAGCAATCTAATCCTAAAGGCCACGAGGGTGTGATCCCAAAACATAATTCTTGATGATCAAACTGTGCACTTTGGCATATTCTGAAGAGCTCACAAAGGTTTTCAATTTCCCTTTGCTCTAGCTCTCTACATTTTTTGATACAATAGGCACATATGAGACTTAGCCATCCTCCCCAGTCATCAGAAAGTGAACCAGTTCAAACACATACTAAATTCATATGAAATAAATTAACATGTGCCTGTACACATACACTTATATTTATACTGCTTCCTAGATGTTTCATTAAAATAAATGAAAATATACATATATGTGCCTATATTGATTTTTAACACATAGAACAAGTGATTATTTATAGTTGTTAGCATGTTTTTATCATCAGGGTGAATTTTCTCTATAGAGAGGAAAATAATGCAAATTTAACTCTTACCCTATGTTCTTTTATCCAGGATTCCATATCATTTTCTGTCAGGTAGTATGCTTTAATGTAGGTCTCCACAAATTCTTTATCTGGAATAGGCCTAATGTCTGTTAACTTTTCTAGTTTCATCAAGAACTGCTGAAAATCCAGTTGCATCAAGGCACGTCCTTCATTGCTGCACTTCTTTACATTGGCATAACTAAAAAGAGAAAGAGTGCAAAGCAGAACTTAAAATGAAATGAAAATTAATTTTGCTTCTCAAAGTTAACTTAGTCTTTTGAACCTTGAGGAGGAGCAAAATTATGGTTTTAAGTCAAAAGCAGGCAAGAACTTCACTTTAGGAGCAGACAAGAATTTCTCTTAGGATGTCTGCTGCAGAGCTTTATTTGCATTAGTAAAACACATTTTAGCCCAGTCATCAAACAGAACTCCACTGTACCCAGTGGTACTTAGAAAAATCACACCCTCCTCTCCCAAAACCCACAAAAAATCCTACATTGAACAACTTACTATAAGTAAGTTAGAGGAAATTAAACCAACGCTAATTAGCACACTGGACTACAGTTTCAAGAGATCATGACCACTAGAGTCTGAAAGGTACCACAGCAGCTTTAGGAATGGCCACCAGGAGCTTGCTGAACCAAGTGGGAGCAGCGAAGACATAAAGCTACTTGTTCAAAAACAGCTACAGAAACCAGAGGATGAAGGGGGAGCACTGGCTCATCTCTGTGAGAAGTTGATGATTTTAATGAGAACAGGTTGACAGCAAAGCAGTGACAGGTTAGAGGAGACAGTAGACAACTTCAAGGGCAGAGTAATACTAGCAAGGATCACAGTGGAGTGATAGGCAACAAACAAAGAAAATGATCTTTGCAGTTCTTCAAATGGGTAAGGAACTGCATTTGTCAAGATCAAAGGAAATGACACTGCAATGCCCTTAAGAATGCCAATTTCAACTACAGGGTACAGGGTCTGGGGCACAGTGACTTGAGAGACTTAATCCAGCTCATCCACCAGTTGCTCTGCTCCACAAGTGACAACCCTGTGTCACTTTTCCCCTCTACCAAATCTAAAATAAGCTCAGTTTTTCACTGGTTCACAAAGTTGATCCTAATTATTATGCACCCCCTATATTACTAGGTTTGATGCAAAAGAGGCAGCAGAAACGTGCAGTTGAAAGATGGATACATGGAAAAGTCAGGTTAAGAATATGAAGAAATTTCACACTTAGGAGTTAGTACACAGAAAGAATTTGCAGAATGCAAAAGTAAGAGACAAAACGAGAAAGGGTCAAGGCAAAAGTTCTCTGGAGCTTCGTAGAAGACTAGCAGATGACTTTCAGTAAGCTCAAGGAGCCAGCTGGGAAACAGGAGAACACACAGAACTAGGAGACAGGGAAGGACAAAAGTTAAAGATTAAGATGTAACTGACTGCAGTGGAGGTAATTCTTCCTTCACTGAAGAGCCTGATGAAAGCAATTTCAGTTGACTGGATGAAAAACAACTCCTTCATAGCTTTTAACTCCATACATTCATTGAATACAGAGCTAAAAAGAAGTTACGAATTCAGAGAGTCACCTACTCAGAACACCTTCCTTCCCTTTCCACAGAACCTACAAGGTATGTAAAAATAACAAAACTGGCCAAGAATAAGAAATTACAGGCAAGTATTTGGTATGAGATAACAAGTACTTTTTACATTCTCAGAAATGGTACAGGACAAATTATATCAGGAAAGTAGTCCTAGTCCAACCTGATTAGGTAGAAGTAAAGGTCAAAGTTTCACAGTAAGTCGCAAACATGAACCTGAGCTGCAGCATGGAGCAAGACATAGGAGTCTTGCTCATATGTCTTCACAGATAAGGATTGAATGGTTCATGAACACCGAAGCCACAAAAGATGAATGTGATATAAGAAAAGGAAACAAGCTGAAAACAAACACAACAGGTGAGGTAGAGGAGGTTGATTGTGACTGACAGTGTTATCAACTTAAAGGTAAGGGGAACAGAGAGGAGAAGAGGCTTTGTTTCACTTCCTTTTATTTGAGGGCAAGGTGTAGGTTCCTGATGAAGGTGCTCAAGCAAACCATCTGAAACACCTCTCTATTCTTGATGAATTTGGAAAACTCACGTTCCATGGGTGCTTTAAGAAAACTGATAGTGCTTATAACTCCATCTTTCTTCCTGGCAAAGAAATGGCATCACCACGGAAGTACTGACTATTATATTGTAACTTCCTTCTTTACTCTGCTGGGAAATTATAATTTTCATATAGAAGTTTCTTTGAAAGAGTACTGTATCTTCAAATGCTTCAGTAAAACGTTCAGTGTCATTCTTCAGCAGTATCTAGGATCAAGACCACCCTCTTTAGGCTTAATGCTGCACCAGACTGCGAGACAATTGTTAAGGAGTGTGTTAAGCACTGCTAATTTGTAGGGTCCCCAAAAGCACGTGAATTCACAAGGACACTATAAAATTAGAACTTTTAACTCTATAAAATAAACATTATAGACATATTTACCCAAAAGCAAGACTTTCATAAATACTTACCCTTCCACAAGAGTTCTATTGGCCAAGCGTATGCAGTGCTCCCAAAGGATGTTGGAGACTGGCAATGGAATACGGACTCTCTTAGACACATCATTCAACCTCCTGTTAAATTCTTCAAATTCCTAATAAAACATAAAAGATGTTTACTCTTTAGTGTAAAAATAGATCATACTCTATACATCCAACAACAGCAACAACTAATTAGAAATGCACATGAGAATACTGAAAAGTAGGAGCAAAGAAGAGAGGCTTAATAGGCACAAACTGTAGACAATTTTATGTGTAAAGCAGAAAAGATATCACTTTCTAGTATATCACTCACAATATTACGTCAGTGATTTTTTTTAAAGGAACTGCTACTCTGTTCCCCAAAGTTGTAGTTCTCTGTGAAACTGACACCTCTGAAAATGAACCAAGTAGCTTATCCTTCAGGTGCCATTTTCATTGCCTCACTCCCTAAACTCATATTTAACTTATTTAAGTCAAAATACAGACACTGAAGAAAATCCAGCTATGATCTTTTATCCCTCTAACTACCCACCCCACCGGGTTTCAAAGAGAAGCTCAGAAACATTGTAACCACTTTTCATTCTTCAACTTTTCACATTAGGTAATTCCTCAGTGCTTTAGAAGGAGCTGAGAGAATCCACAGAAAGAGACAAAATCTTAACAGTTTAGGACCACACTGCAGCACTAGGTAACAATTCAGGTTAAAGGAAGGCACCTGTTTCCACACAAATCAATGGCCTGGATGGATTTCAGCTGATACCTTGAGTGAGAAACTAGTGCTAACTGAATGCAATTACTGCTACAATGGTTTTTGTGACATAAAGTGAAACAAGTCCTCTGCCAATGATTAAAGCCTTTATCACATAAAAAGTATAAAATTGCTTCAATATCAAGCAGAATGGTAATGAACTCCTCTGCATAACCAGCAAAAGCCATTTGCAGTGCAGTCTTTTAAGACCATACTTGCTCAACAGAGATTTTATTTCCAAGGCTGTTAATCTAGGGTTTTTTCCTTTTCCTTTTTTCTTACAGACCCTCTCAAAAATTCAGTAAGTGAAGAAAGTCAGAAGAAAACTTCAGTAACCAGCTGGCATTCAACACAAATTTTCTGAAAGATGAGTTTGTCAACAAAATGCAGGGTACAACAATTTCATGCTTTAACTGGCATACAACTCATCCTTCTGAAGGTGAAGATGTCTAACACTCCACAACCTATTTCTTCAACAATCTTCTTTCCCCACTTCATCTGCTTCCAACATACTGTGACTAAACATAAAGTTCCAACATAGAACTTTGTGTATGTATGCACACGGCTGAAAGTAATTGATTATTACTTCAATCGCTGTGATCACATCTGGTATTCCTGGAGTCCCAGTGTACACAAAAAATCACTCATTGCTTAGCAGTTATTTAAAAGCTTTTGTAGCAACTAGTACTTGCTATACATTAGAGAGACCAAAACTGGTTGTGAATTGTATTATCTCTGATTGTCCTGAAGCAAATTCATCAGCAGTTGCATACTCACAGAAGAAAAAAGTTTTGCCCCAGAGATCAACTATTTTAAGCACAAACTGATATCAAAAAGTCACAGCAGCATAAACAAAGATTCCATCAAATTCAGTGCAATGATATATCCTCTGTCAAATTCTTCCTTCTTTGCCCTGATTTTTTTTTAGCAGAGAAGAGCTACAAAGTATGAAGGTGTTATCCAAACTGTTATTCCACACAGATGTGTAGCTTTTTCTGTGATTCACACTTCACACATCTTTAAAATAAAATTTCCAGTTTCTCTTTAAGAATTAGTAATTAAGATAGTATAATTAATTAGCATAATACTACCACTGCCAGAACTTCCCTCTGAAGACCTTTAGAAACATTAAGTAGGCATATATAAAAGGATGAGAAAGGCATTGTCCCAATAACTAGTCTTGTATGCCATAAGACATGGCAATTGTATAATGACATCTACTGAACACAACTGACAAGTTGGGTGAATAACTTCCCTTTAGCTTCCTTTTCAAATATTAACTTCTAATATAACAACTTCAATTAGATACTGCATGATCATTATTGGTGCTGATTTGACCTACAGCTCCTATGATACATCTTAAAGACAATCAGCAAAATTATTTACAACAGCAAATAGGGTGTTTTGGGATTTTTTTAAATGCTATCTCTGGCTACTGAATTTCCCTCTGTTACTCTGCTTACTACACATTTCTCTACCATTCAAGACTTCAACGTGAGACTCATTGAACTTTTTTGATAACTTTCACACATCATGTAGTCAAAAAATCATCATTGAATACAATGCTTTAGAAGCAAGAATAATGACACTTCTGGATAGATCTCATTTGTCAGGATGATATATTGTCCTAGCCATGCCACTTGAACAGTTTTAGTGAAGCATTACAGCAATTTAGCATTTATATAAACTCTAGCACACCATTTCCCATAAACAATTCACCTTTAAAAGAGCATCTACATATACGTTGTGCTGTGACATGATTTCCTTCACATCCCATTTCACATTAGCCATGAGAAGAAGCATCTGTTCATAATCAATGGCTTTAGCAGCAACAATCCAATAAACTGGTTTACGTAGTTCACTTGCAGTTGACACTGTCTGAAATAGAAAATAAATAAAATTCACTTCAGTAAGTATGTGGCCAGTAGGAGCAATATATAACAATGATGTAGAAGTATTTTCACCATAATGTAAAAGTTTCAAATCTTCTGTATGGGAATCAGCTGTGAATTACACAATTCTGACCTGAGAATAGAACTGCTGAAGAAAAGGCTTCTTGGCAGCTGGCATCACTGCATCAAGATGAGGCTGAAGAAATTCAAACTGCTCAGCCAGAAATACCCTTTGAAAGCAAAGAAAATTTACTGTGAACTAAGTGCAATGTTTGGCATGTCTCTTTACAATTTTTACTCTACAGCTGACGTATCTGGCAATAACAACATGTAACCTTGGAAAATTTAGTCCTGAGAAGAACCATATCAGTTGTGTGCCAGCATATCAACTAGCAGTCTCAATTCTGACAATTTTAAAATGTATTTGCAAACAAGAAAATATTTGAATAAAGAGATTAAGGCTTGAATATCAAAAATTTGTATTTCTATTTTACTGACAATACACTGCACTAGACCTGACATGAGGTCTAGTAAAGTCATTGACCAAGAGTCACACAATCTCCACTGTGGGACAGTCAACATCAATATTAATAAATCCATCTAAGAATTTCAAAATAACATTCCCAATTAAATTTATGCTAGTGAACCTATAAAATAGAACTTGATCTCGTATTCCTTTCCAGGGGTAGAATTTGTTAATAACAACATAATAAGAAAATATATTTCTAACCAAGCATTAATGAAAAAAAATATTTTTAAAATTAACTCCTAATCATTAAGTGTTATCTCATGTGAGGAAAAAAATCATTCCTAGCTCTATTATTCTTATCAAATAAAAATAATTTTGTTACATTTGCATAAATTTGTTATAATGTCATCTTCTCCTGTGGTGTGACATAGGTACATTTCTATCCATTGCAAAGAACATGGTGATTCAAGCCAAACTGATATGAACTAATCAGTTCTGAGTCAAGTATTTAATATAAGGTGAATATTAACCATACAGACTAAATAGTCCCACTAGCCTCTTTGAAATTGAACTTTTTTCCTGATAGATTTGGCCATATATTGTCAGAAATACTGGATCATCTACAGTAAAATTTAATTTCTTGTGTTTGCATGTTGCTAGAGCAAAGAATTAGACTTCAATACCTTCAATAAAGAAATCACTTTTATCACTCCTATTTAACATCACATTGAGAGGTAGAAATTTTTGACCTGTCAAGAAGGATTTGGATTGTAACCACAATTTCCTAAACAATCAATAGCTTTCAGTGATCACAAATACAGTGTGTACAGTAAACAACCTACAAGGATTCCGTGGCCACCACTCTCTCTGCCAAGCCATACAGCGAATTGCCAGATGTCAAAACTACAAGATGACTGAGATGTGGGCTTGGCACCTTCTCTTTTCTCTCTTCAGCAGCTGTGAGAGTTCCTGAAGGATCAGCAGACACCTCCTGAAACAAAGAATTAAACAAATTAAACTCCACAAAACCAGCAAGGATGGCTCCAGCTGAACAGTTTCAGACAAGATGAAGGAATGTTTCAAATTCTAGGGTGTAGTATAAATCAAGCCTATTTCTATTTAAACAGTATACTGAAATGGATGAAAAAAAATCAGATCATGTAAATCAGTACCCAAGGAAAAAATAAGTTAAAAGAAAAAGGCAGTGAACAAATCTTCTCACTACACCTTAACACCCAAACAGGCTTCAGCCCAGTTGCCTTTTGGGAGACTGACTTCTCATTCTTGGAGACAGTATATTCAATCTGACAGCAACCAAATAAAGAGACAGATCAAAGGAATGTTACTTCTGCATGGGCTTTACTTCTTATATGAGTAGTGGCTAACTTAGGTAAAAAACTGATGTTTTCCATCACAGAATTACTACGTTGGAAGAGACCTTTAAAATCATTGAGTCCAACCCATGCCCTAACACCTCAACTAATCCATTCCATGAAAACTTCTATCCTGAATACACCTTGATGCTAGAAAGCAAGGAAATATTCACAGCAAAGGAGTAGAATCTGTAGTGAGAAAGAGGTTATACCAGTGCCTTGCTCCAAAATTAAAGGAAAAAAATAGAGAAAAAATTCTACCCCGAGATTTAAGGAATCCAAGTACAGGGTACAGCTAGAAGAGGAATCACAGAAGGAAGAAATTCCCAGAGCAGGTGTACAAAGGGACACCCTCTGAAGCCTGGTCATTTCCCAGTCTTCAGAGGGTTTCAGGGCATGAAAACATAAAGGTAGCTCTGGTTGGCTTGAATTAGTTATTCATACCATGCTTATACACAGGCCACAAGAAGATGATAAATGCTACAAAGGAAAGGGACAGTACCCAGAACAGGCAAGAAGACAGGGAGGATATGGCACCTATTTTAGTAAGAGCCCGGGGGATAGAAACCCTGGCCAGAGTCTACAGTCTATGGATGCTACAACATATCAGCCTGTAAGTATGGAATGAAAACAAGTAACAGTAACAGTGACAAAGTAGTGGGAAAAATAACTTTTACAAAAGTAAAATCAGTGGCTCAACATGGCTGCTGTAAACAGCATAGGAACAACCAACCAATATGACAATAATGATGCTTAAACATAACATTTATGTTTTGACTCAGAAAAACAAATTAGTGTAATTCTGAAATTGCTATTAGAAAAGGGAAAAAGATAAAGACAAAAACAACATAATGAAAAAAAGCAGCTTTCAAGTTTGTGAATTGTTTGTTTGTTTCAACTAGAGATAGAAATAAAAACAGAAGAAACTGCAGTGAAGTAACTATGAAAAGAGGGAGAAAAACAGACTCAAGCTAACCACAACAGTAGCAATTAATTTCTTCCGGGCTCCACAGCAGAGAACAACTATCAGAAGTGACCTGAAATTGAGTACTTGCTATTCAAACAGGTTTTGTTCAGATGCTTTTGCTTAAGGAGGAGAGCAGTGAGTACCTGAAACACCGGTGGAAATTAGCAGTGTTGTCACTCATTCTATATGTCAGGATTGAGACAAAGAGGAATATTTAATTGCAGACCTCAAAACACCAAGAGAAGTACTGCACATATGATCAACTGAAAACTGGAAAATCAACAGGGAAGTTATTCTGATAGCAAAATATCTAACAGACCAATTGTGGCAGTGTTGCAGTAATTAAAGGTAGGGCAGGTGAAAATTGATTATGTCAAAATGTGTAAGGACCTGGTGAGAATTTAAGTCATACAGGATGAGCAGAAAGATCAAAACTTTGCTGCTATAGACAAAGCAGCACCAGAATGTGTTTACTGCCTGGATGAATGCCAAACCAAAAGTGACATTAAGAATATAAGACAAGTGAGAAAATAATAGTGGCCAAGCTGTTAAAAGTGGTTTGAGGTGTGGAGGAACAAAAATTCACAAGTTCCACTTTAACTCTCTCAGATTTTATTTGGCAGTTTCCTCCTGTGGTGTGACAGCCCAAGGCAATAGGAGGCGAATTTGCTAAATCAGAAAGGCTCTTTCAGTTCTGCATCTCCAGAAACGTCAAACACAAACATAAAAATGGGCTACAGCAGATGGAACAATGCATAGTCTGGGAAAGCAGAGCTCTCACTAAAAAGGGTGAGGAAGTACCTTCAGACTTATAAAAAAATACTGTAATAAAGTTACAGACATAAAAAGCCAATAAAGCAGGGAACCTTGATGGTTCCCCACAGAAATTCTGACATTAAAAACAAGGACTGCTGACTGAGAAATTCCATCAACACATCATTTGTAGCACTAAAAGATCTCACAGAAATACATCAATGAGCAGAAGTTAAAGCTTCTAAAAGCAGCTTGTGGCAAATGTGATCAGATACAGTTGCTCTGAGCACAGAAACAATTATAAAGGCTAGCTACAATGTTATGTTATTTGAAAAATTAATTTTCTTTGCTCTGATCTGTGTTCACACTCAGCCAGATAAATCTGGAATTAAACTGACTAGATGCTACACAATACTATGAAGTTTGCATTCTGCTGAGTTTATCAGACTGGATAAGCAAGCCAAAAGGCCTGGATATTTGCTAAAACTCATGTAACCTCTTTCAGAGAGCTCTATGGAAGTGTACTTCCTGAGCACATGTTTACTGCAGATAGGCAATGACATCTAACCAACAATCAATTATCTAAAACTGATTAAATTATCTAAAAGCATTAACTAAGGCAAAGACAATATTGATTAATTATTACAATTCCCTCTTTATCTGCCTGCTCTTTTACATTTTTCACTTCATTACATTCTTAAAAACCCAGATTAAAAAAAAAACCCAACCAACCAAAAATTAAAACAAACAAACAAACAAAAAAAACCCCATTTTTTTACAGTTTTCACAGGACAAAAGTAGCCAAACTCACAGCTCACCAAACAATACTGTATCCTTAGAAGAGACAATGAGTAACAGAGCTGGGGGAAGAGTATCAGTAGTAAACATTTAAGAAGCTTTCTTTCTTTCAAAGACTAATTACAAATCAAGTAAAAACCAAATATTATGAAGACTTCATTTTGTATTTATCTCACTTAAAATTTGCCTGTCACTTCAAACACTTTTTAAACTTATTTTTCTTCCTTTTTGCTTCTTATGAAGGTAAGTAACATCTTTTAAATGCCATAAATGTGTTGCATCTGAAGAACAGAAAAGGTACATGAGAACTGGCTAAGTCAAAGATAATGCTACCCTCAGCTAGGGAGTCAAACTCTGGTTGAAATATCGTGGCCAAACAGCATGAGCATTTCATTCTCCTAATTTGTTCTAAAAAGCAGGCACTGCAAAAGCATGTTGATAGCAAAAAGCAAACAGCCAGTGTGTCAATACCCCAAAGAAGCACAGGATCACTCTGAAAGGGTCTCAGCAATGCATGTGTTTTTTCCTCCTGCCTTCATTTACAGAAATGATCAAATGACTGAAAGCAGCAAATAAAGAGGCAAAATACACAAGCTGGAACAGGAAAAAAGGCTACAGACTATTTAAAGAAATCTGATGTTTTTCAGTGTACTGGACTTGTTAAAGTTAACCCTTCCAGTAATAAAGAGTCTGTTGCCAGAGATTCCCTTTGTGTACCATACAAGCAGAGTCCTGTAAAACTGCCAGCCTCAAGAGGAAGAGGAAAGGAGGGGAGTAGAAGCCAGAAAATTAAATAGAATCCAGTTGAACTTCAGTTTCAAGAAATGTCAAGTTACACTGAGAACATACTGTAGCACCCAGCATTAAGCATGCAGAGAGCAATACTAAAGCAGAATATTGAAACTCGCTTAGCTCCTTCCAGCATCAGAGTAGCAGGTCCTGCTGATCCAGCAGAACTGGGATATGTCAAAGACATATCACAGCCCACACAACATCCTTGTAAGAAAACTGAACAAAATAGATTTGATAAAATAATTTCAAGGTATACATGGAACTGATGCAAACTACAAGCTGCTCTTCTCCCTCCTTGCCAAAAAGGAAGAAACCCAAAGTGTTAAAAAAATTTAAAAAAAAAATTTAAAGCACCAGACTTATCAATAATCAAATGAACTGCAGTAGGCACAGCAGGACAGGTTAACCAGTATTCCCTTACAGCAGGTCTTACCTATCAAATTTTCTCTAGTCTTAGTTTAATTTCCTTATACTGTCACAGGAAAAGAACTGTGTGTTCTAATGCTATACATGATAGGCATACCCAACTAGCAATTATTTTTACAAGCTCCTTTGCTATAAAGACCTGAAAATATCAGGATGAAGTGTTAAAGCAGGCTTAAGGCTGCTTTGCCTATTTAAAGGTTGCTAATAACAGTAGTATGCGTTACAGAGTATGCTTTGGGAAGTATCTTTGCAAGATATCTACAGTTGAATTGAAATTCATAGGGAACATGTTACAACAAAAAGGTATGTATTAGCAAATAACAGGTATCAGATGAATGGAAGTGTGATATTGTTTAATTGTTGGGTACTTCACTTTATCATTCAATTGTTTACACCCAAGAAGAAATTTTTTAATGAACAGGTGTAGGGAGCGCTGTGCTCCAGGATGGCTTTGATGAATGGAGACGAGAGATCTCTGAAGGCTGCTTTTAGAATATAAGGTTTATTAGGGATGGTGAAAGGTCTTGCTTGGAGCTGCCGGACGCAGCACAGGGCAAGGCCTGAGGTGATGCGGGAGGGGAGAGACAAGGGGTAGAGAGGATGCTCTTGGAGAGGGTGGAAGATCTGAGAGGGGGGAGTTCCAAGAGGGCGTCTGGCCCCTCGGAGACCCCTTATCAGGGGGCTCCAAGGTGGGCTGGAACAAGACTTGGGCCAATGGGGTCACAGGCAGCTGATGGTTCAGGGGAGGGTTACAGGTGTGGGATGAACCATACATTCTGGGGGGTGAGATGGAACAGTCCATTTGACTTTTGGACCCCTCTGTAGGTAAGGGTATTGTCCAGCCAGCAGGGGGGATTGTTTTCATCCTGGTTGAATCTTTTG